CAACATTTGTATTCAAGATATTTGCAAAATATTTTATAATTATATTTTAAACACAATATCTTTTATCTAATTTAAATGAGATATTAAAAAAATATCAAAACTTTTAAATGGGCCGCTATATAGTTTTTTTTGTAAAACTATTATATCAATAATGTTTTGAAAAAGAAACTTTAATGTGAAACTATAATATCATATTACGGTACCTTAGTTACATATTCAGAAATAATATATCCAATGCTATTTGAACAATATACTTTCAATTAAAAAATAGATTTGGATAAATTTTAAAAGTAACAAATGTTTTATACTATGATTGAAGATTGATTTGATTTTGAATTCATATTAAGGAATCTCTTTATGATTCTAAATCTATATAAATTAAAATGCATGTTCAATCTTGAGTCAAGATTCTTGAATATATTTTTAAGAATTTGCAATACAAGGAAATAATTTGTTGTAATATTAGATTGCATTAAATATTGATTATTAAGGCTTCATTAGTAAGATCAAAAATTACAATAAAATACGGGAATTACTATTATATTAATGCATTTATTAGATTAGTTTGGGTTCAGTCATGCCTTACACTCGTTTCGAATCGAAATGAGTATAGGATTGCAATGGAAATGAAGGTAAACATAAAAATGAATTATTATAATGATTGTAATGTCTGTATATTCTAGAGGTTCAGACTAAACTATAACACATTAGGTCTACACTCAAAAGTAGTTTAATTGAATTCATTGAACGTATATTAGGATATATTTACTTTTCACATACTGTTTTGAAGGTTAATTATAAGACACAAATCAATCTCTTAAAATTAAATAATTACCAGCATTAGGAAAACAAATAAAATCAAACTTACAAATTAGTTATTTAATTCAGTCAAAGTTTTGGTTTCTTAATTAATTTAATAGGTAAATTTACCAAATCTAATATATAACAATTATAAAATATTAATTTAATCTTAAAAACTTTTTTAAACAAGTCTAACACATATCCTTCTCATGAAAGAATTTGATTACAAATATGTATTAATGTGTATATAAAGTTTGTATATAAAATTTATATTCTGTATAAGAATTGCAGAATCAATAATATATTTACCTCAATATAACATAGCTATTGATTTCAACATAACTATAAATGTTAGAAGAATATAGAAATATTGAAATCCTTTATAAATAAGTTGATTGTAAATAGTTATTAAAATTATAGTAAATTATTAAAATGATAAATAAGTCAATTTTTGCATAATTTTAGTATGTACAAAGTATAATTCAAATATAGTTAGTTATATCAAAGTTTGTAATTAAATAAAAAAAACTTACTTCTTTGGGATGTTTATTTCAAAACATTTCACTACAAACTTTAGTATAAATCAATTGAGAAATGAATGCAATTCACAAAATATCGACGATTTTATGTTTTACATAAAAGTTAAATATCGAGTAGACGGTAATCAATATAAGAAATTATTTTACATTATATTTTCTGATATTATTATTATTTAATATATTCTTTATAAGTATTAATAAGTTATAAAACAAATGTAAACTCTTTAAAACTAAAATATAAAAAACAAACAATTGTTAGCTTTTTATCACTAATTAAAAATAGGCGTCAATTATAAGTTCGTCCAAACGTGAAATGAAACGAAAAGATATAAAATATTATTACAATATTAGTGATAACTTTAAATCGAGAAAAATGCGCACATTTCGGCGTTTTTATTATTCATCCAAACGGTGTCTATAAATGTATTTCCAAAGTCACTCAATCGGATATACACTCCACACATACCTTAACTATTCAATTCTGTACTCTACACTACTGTACAGACATATTCTGTATATAAATCTTTTTGAAACAATCACATAATCTCCTCATTTCATACATCAACACATATTGCAATCCAAAAGTCAGTTTCCAAATGATTGATAAAAGATGAGTTGTTAGAAAGCAATCTTAAAATGCTTTTTAATAAAAATGTAAAGTTTGACTCTCAGCGAGAGTTTGAGTACAACTAAAGCAAACTTTTTCCTAACACAATAGTGTCGGCTATAATACAACTACACCTTATGATCAATACCTCAATATCATAACAATTACTGCATTACAGCTAATATAGTGCACGCATTAAATATAGACAAAAATGTTTAACCTTTTGGATAACTACTAGCAATCAAAGCCATTGACAGTAATGCCTACTTAAGCGACTGGCAGCCACTGTGAGCTTGAATTTAAAGTTAAACATTATAGCGAAATATAATTCTCATTTGTTATACACATAAAATTTTCATAAACTTTTTTTTATAACAATAAATAGATTAAAAATATTGATTTCCGTCCGGTCTGTGCGAATGGCAATGGACTCAACCATTACAGGAAGAGTTATTAAGTTATATCTGTTAGGGTTTGGTTACACTCTATGGCTATGTGTTGGCAAAGCGGGTAAACAATTATTTAAATTATTTCACTCTTTGTCTAACAATTCATTGAAAGCAATACTAAAGTAGAATAATATGTTTTGCCGTAACTCTCGTGTCATGTCATGTCAAGCATAGCATCACATTTGGGTTCGTTGTGTCGATTGTGTCTCCATTCCTAACATACACTCAAATTGACAGTCAAATTGTATTGCTTTGCATTTGATATTCATATGTGAAATGAAATTCACTACTGTTTATCTCAATTTCGTTTCGTTTAGGTTATCGTAAACTTTTTTTTGTAAATTGAGGGCAAATTTAATTTAAAATTCTAGCAATATATATATTTAAACATTTTTAAAAGCGAAAGCTTTTCTATTTCTAACAAACCTTTTAAAACCACATTAAGTAACTTTTAAATAATTATATAGTATAATAATACGGTAATGTTAAAAATAAATCAATGAATTCTATTTCAAAATATACAAAATACATAAGTTTATATACAGTGTGATAAGAAGTAAATTATTAAATATAGTTATAAATATGATTCATATTAGTTAAAATTAAAGTAAGTTATTACAGATTAAATATATAAAAAGTATAAATTAAAACAAATTTTGAATCAGGTATAAATTAGGTATAAGAATAGAATTATTGAATATAGTTATTACGGTATACTTGTGTACTATATAATTACAATTGAATATAAGGAATAACTTATTAATAAAATAAAAAAAATAAATTTAAATAGCAATGAATGAAAAGTTTGAATGACTGAATGAATTATTTTAATCACAAAAAGCCTTAAAGCAAATGAGATATTCCTATAATTATAGCCAAACACTAACTCTCTCTTTCATCCACTGCTTTCTCATCTCAATATTAACGGAGAGAAATGCAAACATAACTGTAAGGACTATAAGGTTGTTGTCTTTACTACTGGTTTTACTTTTGATACAACGACGACATGTCGATGACCTGAACTCTCGACCAACCAATGAACTGATCCAACTGTTGATCCACTGTTGGGTTCATATATCGGATGTGTTGTTCAGTAACTTTAATTCATGCAAACAGTTGTGAAACGATTTTTTATTCATGCTATAATTGGACTCTTATGTAGTTTTTGCTCTCAATCAATGAAATCAATGATAGAAATCCTATCGAAAAATGTGTGAAAATTAAGTTTTTTAATATTTCAAACGTTTCAAAAGTTTTAATCACTATTTATGGCGAATCCAAGCGTTTGGTCTTTGGTTTTCTTTTTCTTACTATTCGGTCAAATAAGTTGTTTTTCTCTCAATTTAAACTCGAAGACCACTCAATTGGCAAACACTCGGAACAGTAGCCAAGCGAAGGGATGGATAGGTTTGGGACACATGCAGTTCACTCTCGACCTCTTGGGCTCTCTGGTGATGACACAGAGCTATAACGTGAACACTCGGCTCATGGAATCGTTGGTCTTCTCGCCCTTCAGCATACAGTCGGTGCTAATGGCCCTCCACTTGGGCGCCCGATCCCACACCAAACAGGAGATCGCGAACGTCCTCCACATCCCACTCAACGAAAGCAACTCAACCTTCTCTAACTCGCACGACATGTTCGGTCAGGCCGTCAAACAACTGCTCGAAGACGCAAATGTCGGCAAATCCCTGTCCATCGCCAACCAGATCTTCATTCAGGAGGATCTGGCGGTGGCGCCGACATATGCACTGGCGTTGGCTCACTACCAGAACTCTGTCCTCAAACCAATCAATTTTGCTAAAGACTCGCAACAAGTTCTCGAAACTATCAACGAATGGATTGAGAAGCAGAGTCACGGAATGATCGCCAACTTTCTCAGCTCTCCTCCCTCTCCCCTCACATCACTCATAGCCATCAATGCCGTCAAATACAAGGGTGACTGGCATTACAAGTTCGATGCGGCCGACACCGAACCAAATGCATGGTTTCAGTTGACCAACGGACAGACCACTCGCGTCCAAATGATGGTCAGCCAAATACCTGTGGCCTACGCTTACAACCAGAACCTGCAGACCTCGATCATTGAGCTGCCGTATCGGTCACAGCGTTTGGGACTCTTTCTATTACTTCCCAACGAAAGCAACGGTTTATTCGGTTTATTGCGATCATTGAACTCAACGGTCTTAACAAATCTGATCGCATCGATGCGAAAGGTTGGTAACGGAGGCGTCAATATCCGGATTCCCAAGTTCTCCATCGAATCCATGCCTAAAGTGACACAAGTGCTGAAGAATCAGTTCGGACTCAAAACCCTGTTCTCGGACGCGGCAGACCTGAGCTCAATGTTCGCGCGAACTACTGGTCCCCTAAATGTGGACGAATTGCTTCATAAGTCTATACTGAAGATCGACGAACAGGGAAGCGTTGGCGCGGCGGTGACGGCAACTAACGTGGAAAGGGTTGGTGTGACGGGAGGCGCCTATTTCGAGGCCGACCACCCCTTCCTATTCTTCCTGATGGACAAACAGACGGGTCTAATACTGTTCGCGGGCCTATTCGCGGGTCCGCCAAACCATAGCAATAATAATAAAGTCTCATAAATGCTTTGATTTTCTTTATTGTTTAGTTTAGTATAAAATATATAAAAAATGATTTCAAAATTGTCTCCAAATGTGTAAAAACTGATTAATTAATTAAATGACTAGTTTTGCGATTAAATTATATAAAAATAATTAGTAGTCTTTGTATCCAAATTATGGCTGAATTTAAGGCGACAGCGCTTTAATAATAACCTGTTCTGACTGTTCCAGTGTTAAGGGCTGTAATCATTTCAATTGATTTATAAGTTATATGTTTTAAAAAATTTAATAAAAAATTCACAAAATACAGATACACTTACTGAAAGCAATCGTTTTGTTATGTCTTCATAAGTATTTAAGTCTAATAAATCAGTTCTGAATTGAGATAATATGGCCTTTCCTACAGATCCCAACACCGCAAATGGTCGGGTGCCATGAATTAGAGCGCCTACTACTTTATCAAATATTCTGGTAAACAGCATAATAATAACAATTAATAATACAGAATATCAAGCATGTGATCAACAAATACCTGATGAGGAAGTGATGGTCAATGATTCCGGCATAGAATCTGACAAACCATGTGATGATTGGTCTATAGTTGGAAATGTTGTACTTCTTGTAATGTGGTTTCGCACCAGAATTGGCAGTAGTAGTCGGTTGTACTTTAATGACACCAGTTTTCAC